TAAAGCATTCAGTGCCTGTGGGATAGCAACTTTAATTATATCTGCGTATAGTTTAACTCCAACATTTTTCGGGATTTCATTAGGACAATCATTTATAAAAATAAGGAATAAAAGTAGTCTTAGGACACTTCATTAGGACACTTCATAGGACACACTTAGGACCTTCACACACACACTCACACCTGAGAATGTTTCATAAATGTGGGATAATTGGTCACCTATCTTAATCTTGAAATTTCTATCTGATATGAAGTTTTTAAGAAATGTGTAAACTTTTCCACCTATGCCTGGAAATACCACCTAGGCCTGCTTTCTAACTATGCCTGAAAATAGGATAATAAATGGAAAAGCTACAACTTTAAGTGTTTATTACATACATAGAAATAATAATAAATAAAGCATGTATTAATTTGAATTTATAGAAAATTGAATTTATAGAAATTTTATAAAATACTTTTTTTGTATTTATTTAAAGTAAATTGTAAAGTTAAATTAATCTATAAAAAGTAGAACCCTTTATTTTTGTTAGAATTTTAATTTTTTAATTCTATTTGTATTTTTTAGACCAACAATTAAATTAAATTTGTTCAAAGAAAAGAATTATAAAAATTTTATTTATATTTAAAATTAAAGAAGGAGCATTTAATATTTAAGGTGATAATTTTAAGGATAAATGGTTAACGGTTAATTTTGGGAGAATTATGCCAATTTAAATAGGGGAAGATTGTATCAGTATTTTAAGGAAGAAAATGTTAAATTTAAGAAAGAATTTAAAGGCGAAGAAGATACATGGAAATGAAAAAGGTATAGTTTATTTTGAAAAAATATTCTTTAAAATTAAAAAGTTCAATTTCGGCTGTTGCCGACACTATTTTTACAATTTTAATATAATTATTCGAATATGTTTTAGTATTTCCCTTCAAAAAATTTCAATTATATTAAATTTATCTTCAATTCATCTAAAAATTTTCAATTCTATCTAATGCCCAAAAATTAATACAATGTTGCTGCCACCATTAACGCTGATTCGATTAGAACCGCGAACATCTTCAATATGCATCTAAAAAATTTTAGTTGCTTTTCTTTTTATGAAGCTAATTACTATAATTTTTTAATTTCTCAAAAGTAACTGCTTTTATTTACAAAAAGAAAACCTGTCACAATAATTTGAACATTTTTTCTGGAACCGCATACTTATCGCCTTAAACACATGTGCTTATTATTTGATGTATAAACTTACATTGGGCGCATAAAATTTTAATAGAACACGAGCCTTATCATTGTTAAATTTGTCTATCGCTTAAGTTTCAGCGGCATATGGCGTACCGCGAGCATATTGAACTCATTTGGTTCAAGTGCTTATTATTATATATTCATACTCAATCATTAAGTGCAAACGAATGGTATACTATATTGCGATTTAGAGCTCGGTCTACATAGAGTATAAAACCCTGTGATAGGAAAATCACCTCAATATAATTGTTTGTTCCAGTAATAATCTCATTTTGAGTTATATGTAGCATATTTGTATTTTCCTACTCAAATTTATACTTTACATATTCTTTAACAATATTGGTTGATGTGCCATTCAATTGGATTTCAACAGACCTTGCCTTCAAAAAATTTTTAGGGCTATTAAGATTGAGGGAATCATATCGGATATTATTTCCATTGATTATTAATTCGTTACATTCTCCATTAATTTCCAATTCTTTGGTGCATAGAGCACCGCCATATATGTCGAGTACACAAATTTTGTTTGAAAAGACAATGATTTTGAAATTGTTTGTAAAGGATTCTAGAAAACAGTGTTAGATATTTATGACATTTTGGGTGGACATGTTGGAGAGGTGGACATGTTCCTTATCGGTAGTACGATACGGAATACCGACCGATAAAATTTTGAAGTTTATCGGTATTTTTCGGTATTTCCGACCGTTTGACGGTACGGGAAAAATCCAAATACCGATAATACCGATTATTATATTCACAAAAAACAAAAAAGTTAAATTAAAATACCTGAATTTGCATATCCTTGTGATCCTTCTGACGAGATTCCACACGACGCTGTATCGGATGATGATTCAGAAAGAGTTTCATCAGCCGTTGTGTAATCTGATTCATGAGACGTTGAATTTGATTCTTCAGTGTATTTAGAAGGTTTTCCTTCTTCCCGTTTCCAATGATTATAAGCAAACATTTCCTTATCATAACTGCTCCGCTTTTGCTCATCACCAAGAATTTCATAAGCCTCATTAATTTTCTGTGAAATTTCCAAGGCTTTTGGGTCATTTTTATTTTTGTCCGGATGATGTTTAATAATTAATTTTCTGTAGGCTTTTTTAATTTCCTCTTGTGATGCACTTTGTTGGACATCTAATGTTTTGTAGTGGTCATGTTTTGACTCAACAGCCACTATTGAAATTAGCAAGACAATGGAATAAATTGAATAATGCATCTGAAAATGAATAATGCATCTGATTTACATAAGATCGTTTTGAGGAAGAAAATATCATCGAAAATAAAGAGAAACTTTTTTGTCATTATTTGATTAAAGTAATTAAGCGATCCTCACGGTATATTATTAATTGTCCTACACAATAATTTTATGCCTTGTTTATTGTTCCGAAGTCTTCTGCACTTATATGTAGAAAGAAAAAAATGACGAAAATAAAAAAATTAGTGGAGATTACTTAGAGATACCGTCTATAACTAAGCATACCTATGATATTCAGATGCGACGAAAACTTTTTCCCAATTGCGAAACATTTAAATCAAAAAATTTTGATCAGACTAGAATTATATTCAAATGATGATTTTTCCTTTATTTAATTGATTTAAATATTAATGTAAATGAACCTTGAGCAAGAGGGAGAAAAAATCGCGTCAGGAAACGGATATTACAACATTTACTTTAAATCGGTAAATACATAAAACAAAGTGCAAGTTCGAATATAGTCTAGGATAACTCTTTGATATTAAACAGATTTATAAAGATTAAATAAACATATTTCGTTATTAGCTGTCCAAGTGCAATATTATGATTACACAAATTGAGCCATGCCCAAATTATCTTTCTATTATTTATCTTACTTGGTATTGCTGTAAGTAAAAGGACGTGTGAGCCAGGATAATGCGCACCTATTATAATTGAATGGTAATTTTAGAGACATAATCTCCAATAGAGCATAGAGAGGCCCTCGATGGATCGTTTCAGTTCTTTGTTTTAATATCACTCGTCTACATTGTTAGATTTATTCGACTTTAAAATTAAATAGACATCTAAAACTATTATTAGTAAAGATATTTTAAAAAATGCAAAACAGAAGGTGGAAGAGTATAGAAGAAAAGGCGGAAGAGATCCCATCCGCGATGGATGGGATTCACTGAAAATAATTAAATCAGATGTAAAAGTTACCAAACAAATAAAAATTTATATTAAATTATTAAATCAAAATATTTCGTGGTAAAAGTATCAGATTAGATTTTGATATATTTAGAAAAATCAAAGGAAAAACATAAAGGGCAAATTCTTGAGAAATTATCGAGACAAAAAAAGATAAAAGAAAAAAGTGCAAATATCTAATAATTAAGAAATTATTACATCATAATTAACTCGCTATTTAAGAGAATAATAATTTACCAAAAAATCATTTAAAAATAAATAATTAACATACAGGGTGCGGCATAAGTAACCGGACACTTTTAAAATCCTCATAACTTTTTTTGTTGTCAATATTTTTAATAGATTTTAGGCTTATTTTTTAGCTCATTCAATTCTCTATTATGGCTAGTCAATGTGATTCTAATAGTTTTACTTTTTTGGCAAAAAAATTCTGTCCGCAAAATTTCACCTCATTTGGATGTCCCAAAAATCACTGTGCAATACACTTTCAAAAAATTCTGGTGAAAATTTTTTGGGAGAAAATTTTTTTGAAATTACTTTAATAATGATGGCACAACTAAGAACTTACAAAAAAGTGGAAGACCTCGTTCCGTAATCACTTCCAAGAATATCAAAATGATCAAAATGTGGGTGCATCGCAATTCTCGACCCTCCATGAGAAAATTGGCTCGTGAAACCGGAATAAGTGAGATGACCGTCAGACAAATAGCCAAAAATGAACTTTGGTTAAACCCCTACAATATCCAAAAAGCACAACTTCTAACCAAAAAAACCAAAAAAGTTAGGCTTGAAAGATGCAAACTGCTCCTCCATTGGCACGCATGTCCGGACATTTTTTTACAGACGAAAAAATTTTTACAATAAAAGCCGTTCACAACCATCAAAATTATAGAATCTGGACTACAGAATCTCCTCTTTCCGATAAGCTTATCACTCATTCCCAACATCCCCAATCTGTCATGGTTTGGGCCGGTATTTGGGCGTAAGGCAAAAAACCCCTTATTTTCGTGGATCCTGGGGTAAAAGTCAACAAAGACTATTACTTGCGGAAAATCTTTTAGAGTGTTCTGAAGCCTCGGTTCAAGAGCCATTTCGGTCGCAGGGTCTGGATTTTCCAACAGGACTCTGCTCCGGCACACAAGGCGAAAGAAGTTCAAGACTGGTGTAAGGCCAATTTTCCTGGGTTCATCAGCTCTCAGGAATTACCGCCCCACTCCCCGGATATAAACCCGAGGATTATTCTGTTTGGTCAATTTTGGAGTCCAGGGTCTGTGCTAAGCCTCAAAAAAGTTTGGAGTCTCTGCGCCATTCTCTCACCCGGGAGTGGGACTTAATTACACTCAAAGAGGTGCGTGCTATTTGCGAAAATTTTTCTTCGCGCCTTCGCCTCTGTATCAAAGCCAAGGGTGGGCATTTCGAAACTTCTTGATTATTTTTGTTCCTTATTTAATTCTCTATCATCTGATTGTATTTTGATTTTATTTGATTGTGTTTTAATAAAGTTATGAGAGAAAACAAGTGTCCGGTTACTTATGCCGCACCCTGTAAAATCCTAAAATAAAATATTTCAAATAAAGGATAAAGGATTAGAAAAATGGCATCCAGCCATTTGTTTCTTTTACTCTCTTTGTCCAATTTTGTCTTGAAAATTGAAGCCACCCATTACAAAACCTTGATGGTTGATAAAAATGCTTCGCCAGATGAGATTGACGATGCATTTTATGAAAGGAAAGAGAAAAATCGAAATGCCAAACAGAGCGATAAAGCTTTCATTGAAAATTTGGAAAAATTGTCTGAAGCTCATTCTGTTCTGAGCGATAAAACAAAAAGGGAAGAATATGATAGTGAACTTGCTAAAAATAAAGGAAAATCTAAGGAAGGAGAAAGTTCAAATGCTGGAATGCAAAAAGCCGAAGAGACGCAAGGTTTATTAAATGTTGCGATCCTCCACAATTTGGTGGAGGATCGCATCGTTTAATTGAGAAAGTAATTTTAACACAGGGTCATTTTTTGGCAATGGATTACGTGGATTTGTCTCAGGACTCCGCAATCGATTTTCATTTGGAGGATCAGGATCATCATCTGATACAAATTCACAAGTAGGCTCAGAATTCCCAACTGGAGTGAATAAACAAGGTATGTAAAACTCTAATAAACGGTTAGTTTGTTTAGTTTACTAAAAATAATTGAGACGGCCCTTCAGAAAAGAATGGCTGCTAATTTATTGAAAAGATGGCCCAAATCTTGGCCAAAAAGAGTATTAAAAATAGTACACTCAAATTCCATAGATTTAATTTTATCTGGAACTGTGTAAAAATCCTAACTCCAGTCAAAATCAAAATGTGATAAACACGATTCTCTGTTCAGAACATACCTAAAACCCTCGAATTTGAAGTAACCGGCAAAACTATTATTAATAATATTTATTTATAAAGTTTGGAGCGGAAGATGTGATTTTGTGAAAGTAATCGTATTCAAAGAAGGAATTCGTGTTGAAAGCCCTGAGCATTCTACTGTTTTTGTTAAAAATCTGGAAATTAATGGTACTGTAGTAAGGGCAAAAATACATGGGCACAAGATGAAATCTACAAAAGTTAATGGACATAAAAAGTTAAAAGCAAATGCTATTGAAGTTCGTATTACTGAATGGATTAGTAATGTTTCTATCGGTATAAAGGAATATGTATTTGACCAAATCATGTCACGCTTATGGGGTTTCCAAATAAAGGATTCTCTAACAATAAGTGGTGGCATTCAAAATCTCGAGGTAATAAAAAATCTAAATTTATTTTGGGAAAGATAAATGTATTTCTGTACCGTATTTAATATAGAACCTGAAATCTTAAACCGATCTCCTATTTCTTTCAATATCAGAATGTTATTGCTTCCTGATGTGGTCATAGGAAACTAACTTGATATTGAATTCAAGAGCAAAACGATCCTTAATATCTCTGTTATTTTCCTGTCATAACGACAACAATAAAAATATAAGCTTGCAATGTTCACGTTCAAAATCATTCCGGAAATGGCATTTTAAATTCTCAAAACATCAATCGGTTGTTCCCTTTAGGTCCTAAGTAACAATCCAGGCTCAATTTTTAATATTTAGATACATAATGCTCATGTACAGAGTGATAATCATATTGAAATAGCAGAAGGAATTAAAGAGGCTTTCATGTTTGGTCTTGGAAACTCTATTGAAGAGGAAGAGAGTACAAACGATTCAAACGATGTTGAATCACCAACTAATACCAGTCATGGAAGCGATTCTTTTAACTCAGAATCCTCACGAGGCCCAGAATTCCAATTTGGAAGGACTAGCAAAAGTAGGCTAAACTTAAAACTTCATAGAGAATATATCCACCATAGGCTCAGGATTTCTCTCTTTTAAATTATAAATTAGATGAGAAACCTCGAGTTTCGGCCCGGGCTTGGTTAGATTTTGACCTTATACAAAATAATATTTAATTATAAAGGTTGGACTGGAGGATGTGATTTTGTTAAAGTAATCGTATTCAATGACGGAATTCTTGTCGAAAGCCCTAACCATTCTACTGTGTTTGTTAAAAATTTAGAAATTAGTGGTGGTGTTAAAATGGCGATAATAAATGGAAATAACTTAAAGACTACTAAATATTGGTTGAAAACGGAGATATCCATCAATGGAAAAAATGTTCATTATAACGAAGGTGTTACGTACATAAACGGAGTTGAAATTGAGAAGACTGGAGAAAAGATAAAAATAAAAGGGCGTAACATAGATGTAGCAGGTAATATCAATAAGAGATATGAAAAGATAAAAGGAAGGGCTATTGATGTTCGTGTCGATGATTGGATCAGGAATATTTCTACCTCTACAAAGAAATATGTATTTGACCACATCCAGCCAAATAAACAAATAACCGACATTCTTGAAATAATTCATGGCATTAAAAAGCTCGAGGTATATTGAATCAAAATTATATTTTCGACTAATCTAGTAGTATTTCTGTACAGTTTTTGTCATTGAATAAGACATCTTTACCAGAGGTGGGTCGGAATTTCGATTTCCAATTTCCGATTTCCGACTTTTTAGCCAGTTCCGATTTTCGGCTCTTCCGATTTCCGACCATCCTCTGATCTTTACATAGCTTTCATATTTGCAATAGATTAACATGTCATTCGTGTTGTTCTAATGTGTCAAATAGTGAAGAGATAGTTTCCGGACACAGAGCCAAGATCAATTTATAGCATGTCTTGTTTGCCTCAGAATTATTTCGGATATAATCCTTAAATTCGCAAAACTTTGGTCATTCACTGAAGCCTACTTTTAATATTTAGATGCATATTTCTGATGTACAGGGCAATAGTCATATTGAGATTTTTAATGGTATTGATAAAGCTGAAATGATTGGGGAAGGAAACACTTTTGAAAGGGAGGAGATTACAAACGATTCGAACAAAATTCTTATGACACAACATAACAGTTGGTTCTTGAGTCCTGAATCTGAATTTACAATTGAAGGAAAGCGTATTAATTATCAGAATCCACGAGGAGGAACTGGTATTGTTGGGGCTTTTAACAATTATTAGTTTAAAGAGAAGAAGGCAAATAAAATTTTTTAAAAAAATTAATTCAGAAGAAAAAGAATTCAATGGATTCAATTTGAAAAATATTTTAATTAAAAATTGTAGTAATTTAGTCTAAATAAACGAATTTTATAATTTATTAAAAATTAATTTGTAAGGACTCTAAAGGCCACATATTTCACGCTAAGTAAATCTTTAAAATTTCCTAAATACAAGAGGCTAAATGTGGTCCGTGAATTTCTGGTCCGCAAAGCTCAGATGAATAAAATTCAGATATGAAAGTTATTGGTCCGCAAGTTGGGCGAACCCTACACGCGAGTCGCGGTACGCAGAAAAATTTAAACTATTCCCTTCTTTTAAGACGTTTATTTAATTAAATAAAGAATGAAAAATCCTGTGACGGGAGGGGGACAGGATCGCTTCAACATTTGGAAGGCGAGACGCAAGAGATATATTTGCGGTTCCTGTTCCCCAAATTTATACTTGACAAAAATGGCGGGATAAAATTTGCAAATATGACATTCATAGCAAGGGTTTGATATTTCATAGTTCCGTTGTTGTTGTTGAAAATCTCCTATTTTATTTTCTCCAATTTCCTCTATTTCTTCTTTTCCATTGGTTATCCCTATATTTAGTATTTTGGCGATAAATTTGGCCCTGGCTATTTTGTTCTTCTCTCATATTAGTAAAATTACTATTTTTATTAGCTCTAATCTCATTAACTTCACCGAGCTTTGCTTTTCTATAATCTCTTGTTCGCGTCTAAACATCATCTTTAAGCGAGTTCGTCAACTATGAAAAGGGCATTTATGTAATCATTAAATTTTATTACATAATAAATAGTGGCCATATTTGAGAGAATAATAATTTTCCAAAAAATAATTTTAAGACATATAAATTAATTTAGATAAAAGCATGAGTTACATATGCTCAAAAACTCGTATGTTTGTTTTTAAAATATTAAACTATGTCTAAAAACTGAAAATCATGATAGCATTAAGTTTAATACTGTAATAAATCAGCCGATAGAAAAATGGTATTATGTGACAATTGGATTTATATTCATTCTTGCAATATTTATTCTGTTTTGTACATTCCCAGCATTTTGTGAACGATTTGGTATTGAAATTGATATTGTATGTGTTGTTAGCGGTTTGCCGCAAAATAAATGTTTAAAGCTTTTTTTGAAAGCCTTTTTATAGTCCTTGCTTAAAAGTTTAACTTTATATCAGATAATGGATATAGGCAAAAATTTTGTACAGGTACTAGCCCATTTTTAAATTTAAAAATTTTTACAAACCTAAAAAAATACAAAATACCGTATATACTGTATTAATTACCCTGGGTAATTATTGTTTCGATCTCTCGCTGGAGGGGGTAATAAAAGCAGGCGGGGTAATTATTTGAGGGAGGGTAATTATTATTTCGACCTGTAAATTTTTTAATTTATTCATAGATATGAACAGTGATATACAATATGTTATCGAATTTAGAAATAAATATTAGATTTTTACGGATATTCTAAATATAGTCCCTTAATATTTTCATATGTAATGTACCCCAAGATGGTACAATAACACCAATATTTTTCGATATTAATCCAAAAATGCTTAAAAAATAAAAGGTTAATCTAGATAGATTTGAGGAATTTTCTGGGAGATCCCAAATCCTCTTAATCTCCCTTAATTCTCATAAATTCCGCGATATCCTCTCCAAATACTTTTATCTCTTGATTTATTTTTTATATTGATCCTTAAAACATTCTATTATTGAAATTAATAATGATTTTTTAATAAATATTGAAATTAGAGTAGGAAAAATAGGGGGTAATTATTCGAGGGAGGGTAATTATTGTTTCGATCTCTCTCTGGAGGGGGTAATAAAAGCAGGTGGGGTAATTATTTGAGGGAGGGTAATAAATACAGTATATACGGTAGGCATATTACTTCCAGCTGCTACAACGAACATAAGCAAGGTTGGAACTGTAATAAAACTATCAATATCCACGGCAGAAAATGACAACTTTGGCGTAATCAAAGACCAAATTTGTGTCTGATAAATAAACTATTGATCTTTTTAAATTGGTTTAACAGTTATAATTTATATATAATTATTATATATTATAATTTGAATTATAATTTATAATTTGGCAAATTATAATTTGGCCAGAATTATAATTTGGCAAAGGTTAAGCCTCGGAAAAATAAATATACTTCTAGCAAGACCAAGAAATTTTGCTTATGATCTAATTAACGACCATATTTTATGAATAATCATGTTACCATTTAGTTTTTAATGTTTTCAAGGCAAATATTATGATCTGGGGTAGTGTTAGATGTCAACGATTGCGGCATTTTTAATAAGGGGCGCTCAGCATAATCATTATAATTACAAAAGTTAACTCACATTTAAAGTTCCGACAAAATTAACAACAATAATGGCAGTTAAAGAATTACATAAACGTCTAATATTTGGATTGTGTTCCTTTCTCAAAATTATTAAAATCCACATAGCCACATAACATACGATAGTTAACACATTATAAACATTTGATGTAACATAAGTTTCTTGATAAATTTCTGGTTGGACTAGGTCACCAGATGTGCATATTAAAGGTCTGGAAACGTATTTTTAGATTTTGCTTATAAATATTTCACTTAAGAATCTGTAGCGATAACCTACTCAACGAATTACGTCCTTTGGATAGTTACCATAATAGTTAGTATTTGTCTAGGTAGAAACTATGTATATACGTTTTATAAATGATTATCTTTTAATAAGGCTAGCCATTCTAACTAGATAATAGTTGTTCTTGATAGACTGTTAGGCTATTAACAAATTTCCTACATTTATGACACACATCCAGAATTAATAAACTACCATAAATTTACCTTTCAGGAAATTCGATCGCCATGTTTAAGATTAGCCAAGAAGTGCGGGATGTCCTGAGTATGGCCAAAACACCAATAATAGTAACTGATTTATAGCGATCATTGAATTTGTACCTGTGATTTTTTAGATAAATTGTAAAATTAATTGGAAAATTTAACGGTTTTTTTATTTAGTGTCACTCATTTTGTGTTAATGTAAGTCACTAAGCTCATATAAAAACAATACAAATTATAAAATGTGATCTATATAATTGATTGTATATTCCAACCTCCTTATTAATTTTGTGATAAATAAGTTATTATATTATTCGAGTTATTCTGTTAGTCATACGTCATACCGCGTCCTAGAAAGCAACAGGCTACACGGTATATTCCTGTATACGGATTTGTAAACCGTTAATCAATGTTTGTTGTCATGATTCTATTTTTAAACTAAATCCACATTAGCTAAAGTATTTACCACAAAGGAAAAGCAATACTAAGCAATCTATCAACTCCAATAAATAATCTAAGCTGGTTAGTAAAAATTGAACATAAAAAAGGTAAAGCTTGAATATAAAAACATGAAAACAGACTGATAAAATTAATTCCGAATAGAAGAATAAAGAATTTGATGCTTAATCCCACATTGACTGGTATTGAAAATAATGAGCTTAATGCAATATAAATGTTGATTCGATGATGAAAAGATCTGAAATTTTTTTTTATTTTTTTAAAATTTTTAATGGTCATACGACACTTGCAGATATGACATTTGCAGACCCGACATTTGCAGACGACTTTTTCAGTTACAATTTTGGGAGAATTTTTTCAAATTAAATTACTTATTTATCCAAGTTGTATAGACCATGAACAAATTAAATAAAATAGCAAAAAAATTGAGGAAGGCAATGCTGCCATATTTTGCTGTAAGAATGTATAAAGTTCCTGAAGTGTTGTAATAATTGAAGACCTAATATTTTGGAATTTTATAAAATAATTTTTAAAACATACCGGATTGTTTGGCGTCAACATCAGGCTTTTTAAAATCGTATATGCCTTAACTTATCATTAAAACCGGAAATCAAAATATTTTTAGTAAAAGTTGCTTGCTTTAAATTATTTTAATGCAGGGGGTAATGCAGAGGTTCATTACAAAGTGATCCTTTTTGTTTTACTAAAATCAAAAATATAGCAAAAAATAGTGAACGATTTAATAAATCCAAATAACTCGGACAACGAAATAAATTAGGCAAGCAATAGAGATACCTATGCTCGGGACAATAGATTCTTTTCTCTCATTAGCTTCAGATTATTAACAAATAAAAATATGTACTTATTCACAAGTATTGATTATAAAGCAGTCAAGATAAACAAATCTAGGATTTAGAATAAAACAAACGAAAATGATATGACCGTCAAAAGTAAAATTGTTTGGTTTACATTTTCATATAAAATACAAGCCTATTAAATAAAAAATATTTTTATTATTTGACACATTTTCCCATATTTT